CTGTCTTAAGTTAATAATAAGTACAAAACTATTGGTAAACTCATAAAAAATTAAACTGTTTATTTGTATTTGTGACGACGGACCACCGGTGAACTCGAGGAAGCTGTAAGAGGCTCATAAGGAGCCGAAGACGTTCCATCCAATCACCTGTCGGAAGAATGTTCTAGAATTCCAACGTGTAGCTTCCCCATTGGATAATGCTAATAACCCCTGTACGCGGATTGGAAGATTGTAATGATGATTTCGTTCCCACTAAAAACTATAAATACCTGATAATTTTGTACTATGTTTGACACTGTTTGGAATAATATTCCTTTCGTTAGTCTTCTGTCTTCTTATTGCGACTTGGAAGGGTTTGGTGTTCCAGTGCTCAGTTATACGCGGTTGTATCAAGAAAATCAGCTTTTTCAAGATATAACATCTGGCGACGGGTTATTGTATCAATATGTCATTTACCTTGGAACAATTTGAAGCCTTATTGGAACGTCAAGAAAAGTTCCAGATGCGCATGCTAGAGATGCTAACTCAGAAAATGAACCTGGATCAAAAAGAAGTTACAGATGATCCCTTCAAATCTCATGTTGACCAGATTGTTAATTCTATCCATGAATTTAATTTTGATGGTTCAGCTGGCATTACTTTTGAAACTTGGTTCAAGAAATATGAAGATTTGTTCAAGGTCGACCTCAAAAAACTTGATGACGCCGCTAAGGTCAGAATACTCTTGCGAAAACTTGGAACTGTTGAACATGAACGTTACAGTAACTTTATCCTTCCAAAGAATCCAAGAGATTTTTCTTTCGATGCAACGATTGAAATTTTGTCGCAAATCTTTGCTGAACAGTCATCCTTGTTTAATATTCGTTATCAATGTCTCAAGATGACAAAAGCAGGTGATGATGACTGGGTGAAGCATGCGGGTCTAGTAAACCGTGAATGTGAGCGCTTCAAACTATCAGCAATGACAGAAGACCAGTTTAAGTGTCTCGTATTTGTGTGCAGCCTCCAATCTCCCGAAGATGCCGATATTAGAACTAGAATTTTGAGTAAAATTGAACAATGTCCGAATATGACACTACAAGAAGTAACCGCAGAGTGCCAGAGATTGGTAAACCTAAAGCATGACACTTCGATGGTCGAAAATAATGGCCAGTTGCCATACGTTCGTGCTGTAAGCGGAAAGAACGATTCTCGCTCAAGAAAGGTATCGCACACAGATAATCAGCCTTCATCTCCATGTTGGTCTTGCGGTGGTTGGCATTATAAAAGGTTCTGCCCATATAAAGAACATTGTTGTAGCAAGTGTCATCGCAAGGGACATAAAGAAAACTGCTGCAGAAAAAGAACCCATAAACGACATTCTTTGAAACCCTACTCGAAGAAATACAGATTTAGTGCTCGAACTAACAAAATATTGGTATCACATAATCGAGCACGAATTTGCCGCCAAAGAAAGTATGTAACTTGGATATAAATAAAAAGCGTGCCCGCCTGCAACTCGACACCGCTTCTGACATCACACTTATTAGTCGGAGAACTTGGAATCTTATCGGTAAACCACAGGTGCTCCCAACGACCCAGTTAGCTCACAGCGCATCTGGAGGAAAACTAAATATTGTTGGAGAGGTTTGTTGTACAGTCTCGAAAGGAAATGCGAAAACGAATGCAACTTTATATCTTACACAGAATCCAGGACTAGATTTGCTAGGTCTAGACTTGATAGAAGCACTTCAATTAGCAAATCACCCCATTAACCACATATGCAGCGCAGTGAGAACCAGTAAACCGGTGGAAAAGGATCTGAAGAGTGTTGTATTGGAAAGACACAGTCAAGTGTTTATGGAAGAGTTGGGGGAATGCAAAAAGGTTAAAGCACTATTGATTCTTAAACCGGGAGTCACCCCCGTCTTCAGACCAAAACGTCCGGTACCTTATGCAGCGCTACCTATTGTTGAACAAGAATTAGAGCGTCTGCAAAGAAGTGGAATAATCGAACCAGTAAACTTCTCTGATTGGGCAGCTCCAATAGTGATTGTTAAAAAGCCTAATGGAAGTATCCGGTTATGTGCAGATTATTCAACTGGATTAAATGAAGCGCTTGAAGCCCATCAATACCCATTGCCGGTACCAGAGGATTTATTTGCGAAACTGAATGGGGGTAAGTATTTTGCGAAATTAGACCTATCAGACGCTTATCTACAGATTCCGGTAGCGGATGAGTGTAAGCATTACTTGACAATAAACACTCACAAGGGATTGTTCCGATATAACCGACTTCCTTTTGGAGTAAAGACCGCCCCTTCAATCTTCCAACAAGTTATGGACACTATGTTACAAGACATTCCTGGTACCGCGGCTTATCTCGATGATATATTGATCATGGGTACAGACTATGCTGATTTAGAGAATAAGGTGGATACGGTTCTCAGACGCATAGCAGATTATGGATTCAGGCTGCGTGCCGAAAAATGTGATTTTTACATGGAGCAAGTCCGGTATTTGGGATTCATAATTGATAAAAACGGGAGAAAACCTGATCCTGAAAATGTCGAAGCCATTAAGTCCATGCCTCCACCCACGGATGTGTCAACTTTACGTTCTTTCCTGGGAATGGTTAGTCATTATGGAGTTTTTCTGCCAGATCTGCATCGCCATCGTGCTCCTCTTAATTGCTTATTGAAAAAGGATACTAAATGGTTCTGGTCAACTGAATGTCAAGAAGCATTCCTAAAACTGAAGCAGCTTCTGTCATCGAACCTTCTCCTTACACACTATGATCCCGATCTTCCAATTATAGTCGCAGCCGATGCGTCGAACTACGGAATTGGAGCAGTAATTTCACATGCCTACCCTGACGGTTCTGAGAAAGCAATCGCTCACGCTGCGAGATCACTGACTATGACTGAAAGAAACTACAGTCAAATAGAGAAGGAAGCCCTCGCGATTATATTTGCTGTAAAAAAGTTCCACAAGATGTTGTTTGGTAGGCAGTTCACCTTACTTACAGACCATAAACCTTTACTGACAGTTTTTGGATCTAAAAAAGGCATCCCGGTATATACAGCAAACCGGCTACAGAGATGGGCTACCACACTGCTGGGTTATGATTTTAAGATAAAGTATCAACCAACAACGGATTTCGGACAGGCAGATGCACTCTCAAGATTGATTGGTCTGCATGAAAAACAAGAAGAAGAGGTGCTTGTAGCTGCTATAGATGTCGAGGCCGAGGTTCACAAAATATTGTCAGACGCAGTTTCCGGACTCCCGGTCACATTTGAAGCCATTAAAGAGGCCAGCAAGAAGGATAATGTATTAAAGATTGTTCGCCATTGCATACTCAATAAATGGCCTTCATCTAGATTACACGGAGAACTCTTACAATACTTTCGTCGACGAGAGTCATTAACAGTTGTCGATTCATGTATAATGTTTGGCCATCGTATCGTTATCCCCAGAAATCTTCGACACCAAGCCATTAAACAGTTCCACAGCGGGCATCCAGGGATAAGTAAAATGAAGTCACTAGCTCGTAGCTATGCTTACTGGCCGTCAATGGACCATGAGATAGAGCAAAAATGTCGCAGCTGTTGGTCTTGTCAAGAGGCTGCAAAGAACCCAACGAGAGCTGAGCCACAACCATGGCCTAAACCGGACGGGCCTTGGCAAAGAATACATGCTGATTTCGCCGGACCGATACAAGGCAGGAATTACTTAGTTGTTGTAGATGCTTTCACAAAATGGCCGGAAGTTTATGACATGCCGAATACGACTTCAGAGAGTACCATAAGAAGATTGTCAGGATTGTTTGCCTGTTTTGGGGTTCCAGAGATCTTAGTGACCGACAATGGTACTCAGTTCATGTCATCCGCCTTCAAACGCTTCTGCAACGAGAATGGCATATTGCATCTACAATCTCCTCCATACCATCCTCAGTCGAATGGCCAGGCAGAAAGATTCGTGGATACAATTAAAAGAGCTCTGGTCAAAGGGGGAGGTGAGGGTGTCCCGGAACAAGTGATTAATAAGTTCTTGATGTCTTACAGAGTTACCCCTAATCCGGCAGTACCAGAAGGAAAGTCTCCGGCCGAGTGTATGTTCGGAAGAAAAATCCGGACAGTTTTTAACAGTATGTTGCCGCCCAGAAAGACAAATAAACCCACGAATGAAAATCGTAAGGTCAATCGTAGCTTCCAGGTGGGTGAGAAGGTACTTGTCAGATCGTACCAAGGTAATAAGAAGTGGGAACCAGGTGTCATAGAACGTCGAATCGGAAATGTGTTGTACCTAGTCCGGAAAGATGTCGGGAAATGCATAAGACATATAAATCAAATGCAAAGAAATGATAGTACAGTGGTCACAGAAAACCGGCTTCCATTTCAATTGCTCGTAGATTCATCCCCGAAGAACCATCATGAGCGCAAATATCGAAAAGACAAACGACGCAGAGAGAAAGCTGTACAACCCTCGAGAGTAATGGAGCGCAAGAGGAATGCGACACCCAAGCTTCAGGTGGATCCAAGAAAAAAATCTTACACAACGGACTTTAAAGGGGGGAGGTGTGACGACGGACCACCGGTGAACTCGAGGAAGCTGTAAGAGGCTCATAAGGAGCCGAAGACGTTCCATCCAATCACCTGTCGGAAGAATGTTCTAGAATTCCAACGTGTAGCTTCCCCATTGGATAATGCTAATAACCCCTGTACGCGGATTGGAAGATTGTAATGATGATTTCGTTCCCACTAAAAACTATAAATACCTGATAATTTTGTACTATGTTTGACACTGTTTGGAATAATATTCCTTTCGTTAGTCTTCTGTCGTCTTATTGCGACTTGGAAGGGTTTGGTGTTCCAGTGCTCAGTTATACGCGGTTGTATCAAGAAAATCAGCTTTTTCAAGATATAACAGTATTGTTTTTATAATTAATGAAAAGCTATGGGAAATTCATTCAACCGTTATTGTGACAAATTAGAAATAATGTGATAAAACGAGTAAACATGGAAAATATAACTAATTGTATGCATATTGTGTTGAAATATATATGTGGGGAAAATACAGAATGGATATTACATAAAAGTCTATAGTAAGTGTCATACTGAGTGGTGCTCACTCTTACTTCATTTGAAGAAAATTATCTTCAATAAAGGTTTAGTGAACGTTAACGCAACGGGGGACAATCGAATCTGGGAACCATATAGTGAATACTTGACTTGCAAATTGTTAGTCGATTGTCTCAAACTTGAATGTTCCTTTTGCAAATGTCAGCCAATCGTCTCAAACTTAAATGTTCCTGCATTTCCATACCAATTGCTTTCTGTTCCCATTCCTTCCTCCTCGGTCTTCTTGAGCTTCGCCTGCCAGACATTCTATTACTGACCAGCGCTATATACTGCTTATGTCGACATAGTAGTACACACCACAAAGTCACACTAAATATAAAACCAAATATCACTCTCTGAATGAAACAAATATCATTGTAAGCAGTCATGATAATTGGTAAGCAAATGTGATCTCTGATTTTTCATCCCGTTCTAACAATGGGAAATAACAATGTAACTCCAAAGATGGGAAAATGATTTTATGGTTTCCTCCAACTTTAACATATCAATGATGATGAATAAAATGTCAAAATAAACTTGAAACATTTAACTTGATATGATCTATGGAGCTACATCAATCATAACAGAATATGGTCTGACTAGATAATTAACTAAGTTATACAAATAATAAATGAACTGATGTACAAAATTATTGGTGAGAATATTTTAAATTTTTCTCAAGTTCTATGTTTTCATTTTTTAGAAGTAGTCTGTTCTTCATTATTAATACACGTGATTAGTATATAACGTATTCTTCAGTGATATTTTTGTAGTTGGATTGTGTATTTAATCGTTAAAGAAATGTAATTCTGATGTTTGTTTAGTCAAGTTAAGTAAATTTTTGTAAGTTAGCTCACTTTTATTTGTGTGATTAGAATTTAACACTGTACCATAGACTAAGTTGAATTGGATGAGCAAATATCTCTGACAAAAATCGACTTACATATCTTTGCCAGAACGGTGATTATAAAGTGATCAAACATCGATATTAAGACTTTCCAAAGACGTAGACAGACCTATCTGTTGTCTGACCTGCGTAGGTGTGCGAACGTTGAAGGCAGCCAGTTTGAATGGTGCACGTGGTTTCAGAAAGACTGGTTCAGTATTCGTACTCGGTGGTAGCATACAATTTTTAGCCAGACAGTGACTCGAGAACGTTTAGATAGAGCCGAATTTCCACCATAGGCTATCTGCTGTATACGTTGAAAAGTAAGAATAGACAGAGTGGGAATAAAAGAGAGTGAATAAATGACGTAGTAAATAATAATAATAATAATAATAATAGTAATAATAATAATAATAATAATAATAATAATAATAATAATGTGAATCATTCGATTATTAATCGGAGCAAAAAAGTATTTCCCATAATTATCGACAGCTCACCATATTTGTGTGAGGGCTGTGATACTACTCGGGTGCCCAGACCGAAGCAGATGGTTTTCTTAGGGGGACACACTTCAGACCTTTGACCTAAAAGTCTAACCCATAAGGCAGATTGAATAAAATAAAATACAAAGTAGAGAAGCAGCGCAGCTATGGCTAATTACTGATCTGCCAAAACTTATCCAATAATTTATGAAGATATATGTCATTATATTAGACAAATTTTGTTTTTATATTCAGTTACAAATGCAATCAATATATTATATAGCTCTTTTGTTTAGACAACTAATTTTAATAAAAGTCTGAATACAGTTTGAGATTTCAAGTCTGTAATAGATCAATAGACCTTTGAATGGAATGTGACGTGTTGTACACAAAAATAATCACAGAGTTTCAGTATTATTGTTTGAAAAATAACAGTGCTCTAACAACTAATAGATCAGTAGAGAGGTAGAAAAGCTATTGCTTAGTACTAACATGAGTTTTGTAATTTTTGATATTGCATAACCTGAAAACACTTCACATCGAAAGGAAATTCACACAGCTCAACGTTTGATCTCGCAATTTCGTTCCAGCACACTAACATTAAGTGAGGTCGTGGTAACACCATTTTCTCTCTCGTAAACAAACCAAGACGGAATCAAAAGTTTGACTAATTTCAAGTATGTTTTCCGAAGCCTCATCATACACGCAACAAGCTAACATTTCGGATTATAAACGAACCCATATTACTTATTCACTTACTGACTTACGCCTGTTACTCTTCGTGGAGGAGCATGGGCCGCTCATCAGCATTTTCCACCCAACCCTGTCCTAGTCAATCCTTTCCGGCTCTTTTCAGTTGTTATTCATCATTTTCATATTTGCTTCTATTTCCCGACGTGATGTGTTCTTCGACCTTCCTCTTTTCCGTTTCCCTTCAGGATTTCAAGTTAGCGCTTGTTTCGTGATGCAGTTTGGCGATTTCTGTAATGTATGTTCTATCCATTTCCATCATCCTTTCCTAATTTCCTCTTCAGCTGGAAGCTGGTTTGTTCTCTCCTTCAATAGGCTGTTGCTGATGGTATCCGGCCAATGGATGTTGAGTATCTTGCGAAGACAACTATTTATAAATACTTGTACTTTCTTGATGATGGTTGTAGTAGTCCTACAAGTTTCAGCTCCGTACAGTAGGACTGTCTTGGAGTTCTTATTGAAGATTCTGACTTTGTTATTGGTTGATAGTTGTTTTGAATTTCATATGTGTTATGAAGTTAAGTTGTAGGTCGATTTTTACCCTGTGCTAATTGTTGTGTCCTTGACTGGAAAATTAGAGAGCAGCGTACTTATCGATCGATTCAATGACACGTAAACGCGTACGGACGGCCTAGAGTCTCGATTGGTCCCACTTCCCTGTCTAGCCCAGTCAGTTGAGTCCAGAACACAAGTCACAACCTCTGAGATATGAATCATTATATTTCAAACATACTTTGTTTATATACCAATCAAGCATACCACGTCGTACCATAAAAATAGAAAACAACATTTTGTACAATATTCAACAAGTGAACAGATATCGACCAATAGGAAATGTACATTTAAAGTCCAAGGACACCATTGGACTTAACATGATAATTATTGGTCTATTCCTGCGCATCCACAACAATATGTTCTTCAAATGTAGGAATGCGACCATGCTTCCATAATCCACGCCTTTAATTTTTCTGGTTAGCGTTTTTTTAGCGAGTTAGTTTCTTAACCCCATGCTAAACCCTCCTACTTTACTCGGGCTTGGGACCGGCAATAACCCTAGAAGAGCTACAGGCGGAGATGAGCGAACCCGTCGGGACTCATTAACTACTTAAGTGATAATAAAAATAAAAATATTAATAATAATATACATATATCACTTCGAAACAGTAAGAATGTATAACTTTGCATTTGATTTCCACTTCAAACTTGTTACTCATTTTGAAAAGAGCAAGAACAAAGATTTTAACAGAATAGCATGAATTCATTTTATTTCGTAGGTTCTCTTCAGCTGCTTACAACCTGTGATATTTAAAATTCATAATTACATAATGGGTTTAAATTGCTAACTGAGTATTGTAAATATATACCTAATGTGAGAGAATATTCTACAACATTAATTGTGACATCAGTTTCTGTCCAATTAGTTACAAGAAGGCGTTGGTTAAAACACTATTTTACAGGGCAGAAAAGATATGTACCACCGACAAACTGGAAGAAGAATTAATGAACGTAGAGAAATGTCTAAAAGAAAACTTTTATCCACAAAAGTTTATTGACAAATATAAAATGCCCAAGGAAAAGAAGACGGAAATAACTATGGTCAATAAAAAACCAGTATATATACATCTTAACTTTAAAGGTGATGACGTCGCACAAATTATCAACAAGAGACTGAATACAGCGCTAGCCAGAACTTATCCGGCTGCTAAACTTTTAATTCTCTATAAAACAACATGTTCAATAACTCAATCAAAGATCGACAAGCAACCCTTTCAGGTTACCGCCAACTGCATTTATAAATTTACGTGTACCTGCCAAAGCAGCTACATCGGCCGAACTGAAAGGAGAGCATATCTTAGATTCTTTGAACATGTTCCAAAAAGTCTTAGAACAAGGGAAAGAAAGACTCTGAACAGTGCAATCACCAAACATCTCCTCGATACAGGACATCAGGTAGATACCTTACAATCCTTTAGGGTGATTAGTAAGCAGCCAAACTCCAGTCTTCTGAAGTTTACTGAAGCCATTGCCATCAGGCGTCAAAAACCTGACCTATGTATTCAAAAGGAGACGGTGGTTAATCTTTCCTTGCCCTGGTGACAAATATATTCCTTCACTGCACCTTAAAAAATAAAAAAGCTTTTTTTCTTTCTTCTTTTTCCCCTTGTTTTGCATTTATTACATCATTGACTCTATTTTATTATTTTTTTCAACTATCTTTCAGATTAATAATCTTTCAACTGAACTCTACTCACTACATTCCTTCAATGTTATTCATTATGTAATCGATTGTTTCTAACCCACTTTTGAACTGTTGTCACAATTAATGTTGTAGAATATTCTCTCACATTAGGTATATATTTACAATACTCAGTTAGCAATTTAAACCCATTATGTAATTATGAATTTTAAATATCACAGGTTGTAAGCAGCTGAAGAGAACCTACGAAATAAAATGAATTCATGCTATTCTGTTAAAATCTTTGTTCTTGCTCTTTTCAAAATGATAAAGGGAACTGTGTGTATGAAATTTCTCAAAAAACGCCTCCCTGAACTGTTATTCATTTGATGGATTTAAGGAAAGGAAGGTGATAGTAGCTGTTGCCTATAATTTACAGTTTTTATCATCCGGAATGAAATAGGAAAGTGGAGTTTTCGCCTTAATCAAGTTGGAAGTTGATAGTTGTTAGGATTGTATCACCAAATCTATAAGGTACACAAGCAAGACTATAATTTATGGACGAAGCAATCAGTTATAAAAAAATAGGTCCTAGATTTTGACGCGAAATTCTCTCATCCATTTGGCAATATACCACTTTAACATTATTACTGAAATCGGTTCGTGGCGTTTGAAGCAAACGGAACTGTTTTCCAATTCAGGAGTGAACATCAATTCTGAGGTTCAGGTACATCCATCTCGCAAGTCCCTAATTGGACGAAACGCGAGTCCTGTATCTCACTGCTAACCACCATCTATTTGTGCTTATTATACCTGTAACTTAAGGCAATATCGAGACAACCTGCACGAAATGCACATATGTTGAATGGAACTGACCAGTTGCAATTCCAAGCCTCCATATGAGGATTCAAAAAACAATGCGAAAATGGATTGTGTTAGTAATGGTAGAACATAAATTACGCGCATCTCCTTGGTACAACACTTTTTTTCTTTTAAAAAATATTGATTTCTACTATGTTATTATAGTGTCGTACAGATAGAGTTTGTCAAATGTGATAAACAAATCTGTCAGTGAGATTAGTCTAGAGTCGTACATAATGGCTTCATCAATTCTGAGAAGAAACCGAATCAAGCGATATTTCTATTGGATTTCAGTGGTCAAATAAAACCTCCAACTTTCACTAGAATAAATGATAGTCAATCAAAGTTTAGTAATTGTTTAATTGATCACGTCTTTTTGTTTTAACAACAAAACTGCTTTGAGATAATAATTTAAGTATCCAAAAATTTATTCAACCTACATAATATTGATTGTGATCATAAAATGTAGTGAATCTGAGAGTAGTTGAGATGTAGTTTTGTTTTTCTCAAAGAAAAATTGAATTTGCAAAAAGATAACATCGTTGTTTATCATTGAATACTTACTAAAAGAGGTTACAAATTAATTAAAACCGTTTGTTTTATCATCCACGTCACCTGTAAAATCTATATAAGTTGCTCTGTGAACAGAATAATACCAAAACCTTAATGGAATTTGCTTCCGTTCTGCTTATTTTTAAGAAAATGTCGTTACTGCTTATTATTTTGTATTTGTTTCTCTTGAAGGAGAGATTTGTGGAATGTTTAGTAGCACAAAACTATGCCGTAATTTTGTATTCGATTCAGTAATTGTTATTACAATTATTTAAAGAGTGACAGTGAAAATCTTAAACCTAATATACGTCGAAGAAGTGAATTCATCATTGGTGAAAAATTCCGTGTCCGAGTGGTTCTGAGTGAAGATTTAAAAAACCATTTACAGTATGATTTATTCAAGGTTAGTCAACCATAAGAATGTTATTTGCAAATACATACACGTTTTGTATTTATACGATAGCCCAGTCGTTCGTAATTGTGCATTACATGCTTTTGTTCCAAGGTTAATTCATCATTTATAGCCCCATGTTACTCATTCTATATAAATTTTATCTACGTAATGCACCGAACATAAAATGTGCGATTAAGTTTGTGGATACATTTCGGTATAATATTTAACGCATTGTTTCACTTTTTATTGTTACACTTTTCAAAACTTGTACATGCATTCAAGAACATTAGGCTGTTTAAAACGTTAGTTATTACAACTGACTTCAAGGATTCTGACATATGCTCTTAAATACGATTTATGTATTGTTTACTGGTCATGCAATACATACCAACTAACTATAAAATTCGTGTTCTCACAGATGGTAGGTATAATTGAAGAAGTTGAAGTTTATAAGACATTTAATGGACAAATTATTTTATCTAAACACTGATCTCAGAACTGACAAAAATGTCAGGCCAGAAATACGGGAAAACTGCCTAAGCAAACGTAGTGTTATTTTCGGACAATATTGTCTTCTTAAAACTACAACAGTAGATTACTACTATGCGAATATAATTCAGTCAGTCAGTCAGTCAGTCAGCTACAACGTAGGACCAGACGCACATATGTATCAGTCCACGTTGTCACACCTCATAAGCACAAGACAGTGAACACCGAATTTATAGAAGCAGATACTTCAATGGTATTAATATATAAAAAACATTGTGCATATTGACATAGTACAAAAAGAAAGAATCAGTTAGAGGAAAGAAAGGTATAAGGCAATGTTAATCTCAGTGTTTAAGGAAAGTCAGAGAATGTATACACCAACGCCATTATGATCGATTTTGAGCCATGTCACATGGAGTCTTCAACCAAGTAGTCTGCATCTATCAACATGGCTCAGACTACAAGATAGTAACTTCAAGGACCGATCCCATGTTTTGGTTAGGCCGCCCCTAACCTTCCTCCAACCATCGACAACACTAGTCAGCATTGCTCGTCGTGGTAATCGGTGTTCAGGCATACGTAACACGGGGCCCAACCATCTCAGTCGATGGAGACTCACAGCCTCATCAACTAACTTACCATCATTCCCTAATACCCTGTGCCTAACCTCACTATTACTTACCCAGTCATCTCAGCAATATTTTTAATGCATCTGTGGTCAAATACTAGTAACTCACGAGTATCATCTACTCTTATTGGCCACGTTTCGCAGCCGCAAATTAAAACAGAACGAACTGTCGCACAGTATAATTGCCCCTGAATTGATAGACGAATATCTAGCCTTCGCCACAAGTGACGTAAGTTGGCAAAAGCCAAACGAGCTTTTGAGTCCATGCAGAGATTTCGTCAAACACCAACAGATTCAGGCAGACCAGACTTCCAAGATAATTTAAGTCGTCGACGCATTCGACTACTTCATTCCCTATCCTTAGTTCATGTGTTCACACGGCCCAATCCTGAAGGAACAACGTGAATTTCAAAATAGGAAGAAACGCGTTCCAAACGTCCTGGCATTATTGCTCAGTGCCACCAAACACTCTGCATTTTATCAGCGTCTTCGCCAAACAGAACTATATCATCTGCGTATTCTAAGTCGATCAGTGCACCTCCTGGTAGGAGATCTGTTCCTTAAAATTCAGTCGACGAGAACACTATTATCAGCGGTAGGTCTATGATGAAGTAGAAAAAAATGGAAGTAGTGAACAGCCTTGTTCGACTCCACCAGAGGTTGCAAAATCAGATGGTAGTTCGTCATAAGCTCTGACTCGATTAGTACGATATTCTAGGGTTTTACCCAAGGAGGCCTGCTGGCCGATTCGATACAGCGTGTGTACGTATTTTAACGCTGACCACGAGTAATAGTCATAACACGAATGATAACATTAATTACTACTTGCCTCATACTTTGGTAGATCGGTAGCTGGATCGTATGTAATTGTATCAGGACGAGGTCTTGTATTAGGCTCATTAGTAGAACCAGAGTTCCCAATCGAATTATTGCCTCGATTACGACCAGCCCGCAGTAAACTCCAAAAAGTTGACAAATGACCCCACTGATCGGAATACCAATCATCAAGCAAGTTGCCTGTACCGTCTGGTATGATAGGACCTCAAGGAACTATTGTTCCAGTCAGTATAGCGCAATTAGTTCATCATGATAGGCAAACCAGATCACCAAGCTAAGGTAACAGGAAAGGCCGTAATTTGATAAGTGTATGATAAATATCAATACATTGAAAATCTGACACAAGTACATTACTATGAGTGTTTTCAAACGATAGGTGTCAGGTCTTTACCATAGAATGTGCATTGCACAATTTAATCAACGATGTTACAACTTGGGATTCGATAACACTTCAAATCCAGTATTAACTACGGTTAATAATTTATTCATCAATAAACCATGAGTTTAAATGACTAGTCGTCTATGACCATTTCAGTTCAGAATACTGATAGACTAATTTGGGTCACCGATTTCGTCACTCCACTTTGTCCTTCCTAAAAAATTATGAAACAGTTGAGAACCAATAAGATGTATAACTCATTGATCTGTTATAATGATTATTATGGAGTACTGAGAATCTTACCAAGATTAACAGTCACTGAATATTCGATAGTCTTCAAAACTAAACCTGTTTTCATCTTCTGTTTGATTGGAACACTTTTGTGAATTGCAGAGGCAGGTCAACGATGCTTTGATATTCTGGACAAAGGCAATACAACCGAAGCGAATCTCTACCCAACAAATATTAATAGAACGGTTAGCTTATTAACAGTCATACAAATTGGGTAATTTCCATGTTGTGATATTGTTAGGATTCTCTTTGTTGCAGTTGACCTGTCATCCTAAACATTTATACTGATGTGTGATGTGATGTTTGTTCAGAGAACAAACCACCTATATCTTCTGTCTGTTCTCTTACGGAAGTAAACTTGTAGTGTATCAGGGTCACCACTTTATTATACCAACGCCAACATCATTGAAATTCATAAAACTCATCTGCATCTATGACACAAGCTATTTAGGATTTGTCAAACATATCTTGCAGTTAATTTGACTAAATCAACAACATTAGGCAGTATAGTGATGGTGGCAAAATTATAACAAAAACGCACCCTACTCCTCTACCAGTACGCGGGTCTCAATCGTTTCAATGCACCGTACATCTGCGAAGTAAAGTTGAACACTTCCCACGTTTTGTGAAACCTTTCGAAAGATGCTAAGACATTTACTGGATGACTGGCGAACGTACAGTTTGTGAATAACCACTAAAATCTGTTTATTATAACACCTATTACAAAAAGAAACTAGAACAACATATTTATACATTTCACTGAAACTAAGGCATTGATGTTACAAATACTTTTGAATTTAGAGTGAACTGATAACAGCAATACAGCAATACAGAGCGCATTGTTCAACAGATTACTGTCATCATATTAAGCAGACAAACACACTGATATTTTGTCCATCAACAATCCATCTAGTGTGATAATGCGTCCAAGAACATTACCAGTCATCAGCTCGGTCAAATAGTTTACTGGGTGCTATCGGTCAGAGTGTGGAGGAAAACCAGTGCTGATGCGATAAATTGCATTGTTGGGAGAGGATTCCATTCCTATAATTGTTTCATTCCCAATCACTGTGTTCTGAACTCTCTGCATAGTGTCAGGGCTTTCATTAAGCAGACATCTCTTCACACCGTATATCCAGAGGTCGAGTGGTTACAAGGAAGAGAGTCAACCAGTGAAAACCCGAACTAAGGAGGTAGTGTTTCGAGAACATCTCTGACAGAAATGAATTAAGTTTGAGTAGAGCACAGCCTCGATATAAGCAACAGGTGGTTGTCAATGCAGATGGTAGCTGATCGTGTCCATTATTGTTTGAGCAACGAGAAGTTAGAAATTTATTGTGTTTTGGATACACCTCAGAGGTAAACACTGACACAAAACATTGTGGTCGACGGTGGTCAACTTCTTGAATGTGTCATTACACAATGATGTGCACTCAGAGTGATAAATAAACATTTCTTTTCCTGTTGTTTATCTCATTTCGAATACATTAGCAATTGCAATGAACGAGTTCGATCACAAATGCGGCCACAATATCATTACTGCGAAGGTGGTTGTAACAAAGTGTCGATATGTAACGGTTTTGAAATCCCCGAGAAGTATCTTCAGGTCAGTTGCCCAGTTGAAATGATTGAATATTTGTCGTACCTTAAACGTGGAGATTACATCCCACCCATCATCAGAAAACATCCAATTTAGTGTAGGCAATAATCAATTCCATCCTCAACAATCCTATGAAGAACATCAGTTATTACTTCACACGAAATATGAATTGCAAATAGTTTATAAGTTCTTGATTCGTTACCTCTGGAGTATTTTGTAAATTCACAACACTCTAAGTGTCAGGGGAAAGTGAATCACGTCTCAATGAACGTTATTTCCGAAACATTACAGTGTAGTTAGAGTAAACCCAGATGCGGTAAATCTACTTATTGCTTACACAGTTACCCTAATGAAATAGGAGAATCGTGCATTAAATACATTATTTGCACATCTTCCTTCAGTTTTCTTTCACATACTTTGTGATTCTTTAAATTCTGTCGCTGTTACATTGTTACTTGTTTGCCTTCCTGTTCTCTTCAATTCCATCTTGTGCTGGCAGGTATCCCACTTCCGATTGCTGCTACATGTTACTTTTATCTGTTGACATAGTTAGCATATACCACAACAGGATCACTAAACGTTGCATATGAATTAACATGAAAGTTATTTCAGTTGGTGCCCAGTAGCATCCAGTAAGATACATTTCCGAGTGTCGTGAATTTTATGTGATAAAATTCTTGCTGCTAAACACGTACGCTAGGAAATCTCACTGCATCATACAGATAAATAACCGAACTGTTGAACTCGTTAGTTATCAATGTTATCGCTAGTCTGTTTCGGTGTGGTTAACTTTTCCATTAAATTTCATTATTACCGGGCTGTGATCATGTCATATACTGTATCATTTTCAACATCACTCTGCATATTTTTTTCTCCGTAATAATGCGAAACAGTTAATAATTGTTTTAAAAGCTAAGGGAACTCTGGGAGACACCCATACAGTGTCGCATGATGGACTGTCATTCTTAACACAAAGGTGATTTGTGCTCATTATCGAACATAGTTGAGGTACAGAGATTTGTTATCTATTTAGATTTTAACGATCAACACTGGTTGAGGAAGTGAAGCTTCAGCGGTTGTGTTGTTAATCGGTATTTTAACTCGGTTATTTGGATTTTTCATGTACTATGAAGGTCACCCTTGAAAAAGGAAAACACTGATTTCCAGCTTTGAACAACTTTAAGTGTACATAATAATAATCATTGGATCGGTTGTGACAACAAAAGTAGCTTAAAACATTTCGAGTACAATTTTTACGTTTTGTCCTCGGACAACTTTATGCAAACCTTTCTAATGTTCCGACTCTATAGAAATGTCGTTCATCTGAAAAAGATGTTGTGAAAAAGTCCAAGTCAAAAAGTCAGACAAAAGTGACTTTATTCTGTTTATCCGCTCGGGTGATTATGGACCCCTCACATCGTTGGCTACAGCTGACACTTGTCAGCTGGATTTAGACACGAATAGGTAAGTAACAGATCGGTTGATGTGTGAAAATTATTGTTTGCGTTCGGTTGAAATCTTATACTGAGACTAACTTATCCAAATTTTAGTACCACAGATGTTCTTGAATTTCCTGTTTCATATCATTCAAGTATCACAACGTCTTAATTGTCTACCGACAATACGGACAATTCGCTGCCAAGCGTAACAAACAAGTGCAATGATTACTTCACTACCTCTCAAAAACCAATATAATTCAGATAACATGCGAGTCAACAAATTAAACTAGTTCGTGGTCTCACAGATATCGTGTTAAACATTGTGATCAAAAATGTTACTTCTTCAAACTCAGCGTCATATGCAGTACACTAGAACAAAAATTGCATTCTCTATTAGCTCTTCACTTGACAATTTTAACTAACAGATTTTCTGAACTGGCTACGATTATTCACACATTGATTTTATACGGCCGTCGTCAGTGTTGATGAAACTTTAAATTGTGTGGCTCGATTTTGTGAAACAGGAAACACTTCTATACACGTGGTTAGCATTTGAGCGAAACCATGACAACCATTCGTGATGCCAGTGTTGTCCTGAGTTAGGATTTTTGAACGGTTCACTGAAAACGTCGTACAGTGTTGTGATGCAATTACCTGATCCGGTGGTGGGATGTTATCATGATCAGACATAAAAACTAGGATTGAAAAGAACAGTTGCATGTTTCTGATTCACTATGTACAGTTGCATTAGTTATATAGAAAACAATTTAGGAATCTTTCAATCACACGACAAAAATCTACTTGTTTTCAAAACACTGTTTCAGTCAAAATTTATTTGAAATTTATAAGTCGCCGCATCTTCTTTCTGACTTTTCATTATAAACTACCAATGTGCTGTGATACAATAGCTTCCGTTGTTATCGCAGTTACCTTAAATGCTGTCAACTTTTCAATGATTCGAGAGCTTGTCAGTTATTACGATTTATGCCACTTATCATTTACATTATTCCGTGCCTAATAATTGCGATTGTATTATTTTTGTTTGTAAACAAGACCAATCGCCGGTTCAATTACAATTTTATCAGCTATGAAATATATTGATTACAACCCAGGCGAATTGAAACGAGTTATTATTCATGAATTAGGACATACATTCGTGAGTGAAACAACTATTAATTACACAGTTTACTTATTCTTGTATTGTATTCTTGTAACGATGACCATTGAAGTCACTACACAATGTGCACAATGAAACAGTATTAATAAATTATCATTATCACCTTACTCACAGTTTCGGATAATTTCTCAGGTGTAGTAACCCGCGTGATTTGCAAGGACCTGCAAACTGAAGGACAATTTCACAGCTGTAGTTACATACTTTTGTTACGTTCCATTGTGTGCAACAGAACGTTTTGTTAAGAAAAGCATTGGGATGCTAACAGTCGTTAAACTTTCGTGAATTCATTTTAACAAACGATTGAATGCCTTTAAATTTATCGAAGAGATCAAGTGTATTGTTTTACTCCACTTTCGATGAGGATGTTAAGAAAATAGCAGAAAATAGCAATAATAAATAAAATTATTTGACATATGCCTCTTAATGCCAATGTGAGACTCGTTCAAATGATTTCAATCAATAATAAAATATTATTTTTATTGAACAGGGTTTCGATTATTGGTTGTTTCCTTACCTACGTCATGATGATGGTAGTCCTAGAACAATGCGTAACCAACATACTGGTGAACCGGAATTGCCAACAAATGCCAACGAAGGATTAAAAGCTGATCGGTAAGGAACATTTAAAACACTACTCGACTCTCTGTCTTAACATCTTGTGTTAACACAACACTGTCTTATTTAAAATACATAAAGCGATGAAGTTCCAAACTCTTTCTCGAATCCAACTCATAGAACACTTTCTACGTAATTATTGAAAATATTCCAGTTTCCTCAAATCATGCTCAACTTTTTCATCCAAACAGTTCGTTTATAGGGTAGATAAGTATTCCATTGCAAATTACTGGCATGAAGTAACTAATTCAATCAGCAACTGGATCATCAGTTGCTCATTGGCAATGAATCGACTCCATTATGAATGACAATCAATGAATCATGGAATGTAAATTTCCCATTCAATTCCCAAATTGTTCTGGGACTGGTCTCATTTGACATGCGCAGTATTAAAAGCCAAATACCCATTGATATGTGAGAATTTCAGTTCAGGTATTTAAGTTAAGACAGACAGACAGAGTCTATACAAGCAATATAACCTTTTATTATCTTAATACTATTCACATATCAGATCAAATGACTGTCTTTTCAAAGTACATTTCAAACGTTGCAGTATCAATTTACTTATTGGAACCTTGTTTTCAGAAATACTATAAAATACGTATCCAGGACATGGCATACAGTCTCCGGTGAGAACACGTACAAGAGAGTCGCATTAACATTACCAAGTGTAGTCGTAAGTATATCATTGACTTTACACATATTTCACTGATTCTGTGATGTTTTATTGTGGTTTACTCCTAGAGCTTGTTTTATTGGCATATGAAGAGAGAAAATGTTTGTTAAATTGATTAATTTGTTCTCTCTCGCCTTAATTAGATAAATGTTATCAATGAATGTTTGGTTCAATATCATAAACAATTCACATCTATCGTAAATTTCCGATGGGAAATCAGGTGTCTAACTGGAAATCATGAAAAATCAATTTACTTGTGCAAATATTATCATTATACTTTAACACATATATTAGCAATAGTGTGTAGAAAACAATGGAATTCACGGTCAATCTACAAATCATAGAGTTCAGTGCCAAGTCAGTTCACTTTATACAGAGTTCGATCATTATGCCGATCAACACACTTCATTGTACTTATACAAACTGTTGTGTCTTACAGCCAACTAATACGCGTAGACGCGGAAAGGACGATGGAAACTGATACTCTATGCTTGGTGGTTCTCCCAATACTAACTAGCACTGAACGAGGAGGAAGTATAGAAGACCAACGACCACCAGTCCATACTTTTAAAACATTTTATTCATTCTTAGTAAATTATCACCAGTCATCCTTCGTTCGTCTATTTAAAGCTGTCCAAAAACTATCCGTACTGACCTTTGTACTGTATTTACATTGACACACACATATATGAACTGAAGGATTACTTATGTGTCTCTACCACCTCGTTCAATTCACACTTCAGTATGACTCTCATGCAACATTGGTAAGCAGTTGAACGTAACAGTCATTACTACAAATATATCTTAAAAGCCCTTCCATTTCAACATAAAATTACATGTTCCTTTAAATAAAAACTGTCGAATTGCAGTAGTTTTGTTGACTTCAACCAACCTGATCAATGTAGCCTCTTGATGTATATTTGACATTCAACAAGAATCTAGATTAATTTATTTTTATCTTCTCTTCTTTCAAACAGAACTTTGCAAGAAATCATTTTCGATGCAATGAGCTTGATGCGGTTGATCTAGAATCCGATGGTGGCGATGGAAATAAACATTCACACTTCGAACGACGTCTGTCTATTGTAAGTTTACATTAAATTTAACAAATATCAAGTCATAAATATTCTCTCGAATGATTGCTCCAACGTCAATTCTGTGTTTTAATTTTTAGGGTGAAGCTATGTCTGCTACTTGCGACATCATGGCGTCTGTTTCAGGTTTAACTCTCAGCTACTTCAAAGATACTGGGTAAAGTTCAAAACAGTGTGTTGTTGAGTATGTGAATATGTGTATCGATGGCGAAAATTTCGTTGTATTTTCTCACTATGTAACTATAAGCTTAAGACGGTGATAATTAATTAATAATTAATAATTAATAATAATTAATAATTAGTTTCAATGTTTTGTAAAATGTCAACTGTTACTGTTATACAGTCTTCCTATTCGTGATCTCATTCTGCTGATTAAGTGAGAACGTTGATAAATATCAGGAAGATTTATTAATTAAACTCTAATCGTAAGTGTATGTATAACTTCCCATAAATATATGTCTATTGCTCCCGGGACATTAAAACAGGTATCCGACCAATAGTGTGTATCGCTTTTCTTCTAAAATCGAACGTTAACCCATAGGTTGCACCTGTCAGAAAATCTAACATCTCACTTGGCCGATGCCTGATCGACTGAGTGTATTCATTCATAATCATCTATATTTTCAGAGAGCCTTCTAGTCCTATAAACTATCCCATTGCACGATTTCTGAAAATGGAATTATCAGAATAATTGCAGCTGAAATTAGGCATAACACTAATGTGCTGCTTAACTTCGTGATGACATTTCAATTACATTCGCTACTTCGATTTTACACATCGCTCAAGTATTCATATAATCCTAGTAGACTGAACAAAAGATTACAATAATGAATAACAATTATGAGTTACTTTTAAATAATTATGTCCGATTAGCTGATCAACCTGATTTAGTTTGATTGTTATACCAGTTTGATCCGTTCACTGCATTATTTAACCTTATAAGTTGAACCAATTAAGATTATTGATTGTTAGGAGTTAATCGACAATTCCTGTCAGTGAATTCTTTGAACGGTCAGTAGATTATTATTATTATTATAAAATATGATGAAGATGATATCTATTAACTCTTCATCTTTCAGATGGTATAATGTAAATATTTCTATGGCTAAACCATGGGATTGGGGTCGTGGTCAAGGTTGTGAATTTATTTTCAAAAGTTGTGGTGAATTCATTAAAAGGCAAGAATATAGACAAATATTGATATACCACATTTTCCTTTTTCTAGTGTGAGGTGAATTTTGACTGACTAGGTTTGTTAAACAGATACTTAAATTACTATCGTTGTCATCAATCATCTGTCGCGGTATATTACACACATAATTACCTATGGTCAATCTCAATCACAAGCATATAATTTTATTGTTTGTATTTCACTTTGCTGATACTAATTAGATAGAAGTTTTATAACTGCCTTTCATTCAAAACACGGTTGTAAACACAGATTTGATCTATTTCGTAAATAGTAAACTATCAAAACCACATAGCATTTGGAAGATCAAGGTCGTTGTTGCATCAGTGTAATTAATCTATGGTTGAAAAAACTATAAGTAACCTAGTTATTTTTACATGAGTTGTTGTTAGAGCAGTAAAATCCCTAAAACTTAACAATATCCTTTACTGATATGTGGCTCGTGAAAGTAAATATGACTGGCCACTGAGCATGAACTGAAAGACACTTATATTGACTACTTAACTTGTAATTTCCTTCCTACTATTGATTTCTATTGCGGACTGACCCAGTATAACTACCCGTAATTCCATTGATTAAAAAGTATTGTTAAATGTACTCTCTGATTTGTTTTATTAGCCATGAATATCTGGTATCTGGTATAATATGGTCATTCTGTGTAGATAGTATCAATCGCGTATATGGTCTAATTGCTGTAAAATCTGAGCAAACATTTGTGGTATCGTATCACAACGTACATAGTAGAAACAAGAAAATATTTTTATTTCTGTCGTTATATCACTAACTCGCAAACACTGAATATAACTTGTATTAAATGAAATAATTTACAACACAAAACAATCTTTTTAAGTCGGTATCAATTGCCATTCTATATAAGTGTGGATGTCAAACTCTAGTTAGTGGGCGAAGTAAATGACAATAAGAAGCAGTCGCTTCTTTGTCATTGAATTCGGAATTGCGAGTTATCACTTAGTTCATAAAATTCTTAGATGTTTTAAACAAATGTAAATAGTAAACGGCTGTGGTGTCATGAAACTTGATGGCTAGTGCACATAATCATTCATACGGGACTCAAACACAGGCATTCGTATACTCACAAACGCTTAAACTTCAAACCTTTGGACAGGCATCCGGCAGTGTTCATACCCAACTTCAAACAATCCCACGACATTGAGCGATTATCTTCAATTGTCTTCGATGAGTGACTGACTCATACTGACACAATTGAACTCCACTGGTTGCATGTTTTTGCTGATATGAATTTTGGTCTGCTTTTATTCAACTTGCCAGATTAATTCATCATTAATTATTGAAATATGTTGATACAATGTATATGGTCAATCATAACGTGGTTCACCAGTCTGTTGAACCGATTAATGAATTGTTTTTGTTTACAGTCAACGGACGTCATCACCTTGGTGTGATGAACTAGATTATGCAAATTTTGTTCACTGCATTCCCCATATGAATGCATACGGAATATGCAATTTAAAGAATCTCAGTTTACCTCTAAAACCAGAGCATATACACTTCGATAGCCTGCCCAATATAGTGCCTTCGGAACTAAGTAGGTTTGGAGGATCCGACACTTATGCTGATCACTGTCCATATATGTCCGTAAGTACAGTTTTATATAGTTGTACATTTTAATCAATAAACCAAGATTTGGATTCAAAATAAACCAGTTACAATGCAGTGATACATACGTTTTAGTTTGCGTTCAAACGATTAACAAACGAAACGCAATATTCACTAATCAATGTTAAACAGAATCGATCAAATAAATAATATATTTATAACAATCAACACAATACTCAATTTATTTGAAATTATCAAGTCAAAGCTTGGTAATGATACCTACAGAATCAATCAAAGTTTGTTTTGAGAAAATTAAATCCTAAAGTGAATAAATCAGTTTGAGTAATCGTTTCTCAAATTCTAAGTTAATAATTGCGAAAAATACGTATTGTTACGGCTGTGGTAATCAACTTGAACTCAGTTCACTTCAGAATACAATACTCAGTTATATATGAATTCATTGTTGTTTCCAAGCCAATTTAGTGATCACAGACGACGAAAACTCACATACGAACTTTGACATGATAGACTATTTGACTTTTAAATGGTAATATGTATAAAATCATTCAAGGCCAGGATTGTACACGAATATTTTTACATATCAGTCATTTTGTTTAATTTCTAACTACCGCATTGCGTCACATATTCAAAGTTTTCGGATTTACTGATCCAAATATTTCAAATTTTATCTTCAGAAAGTGTTGATCTATGCTGTACGTAAACTGTTTTATGATAAAGATGATTTCAAGTGAAAACTAACATCTGAAACTGAATTCTAAATTTTTGAATAGCTACGTGTCATTGGTATTACAATTAAATGTGTACGCTGACGTTTCATTGGTATACCATACAAAACACCATGAATAAATATCCTTCACGAAATAGGACGACTCATATGAATAGTTGAATTTGTGTTGATTTATTCCATTCGGCTATTTCCGGGAGAATGTCTCCCGATGCCTAAATGACTCTGTAATCAAGTGATTTGTGAATCTTTTCCAACAATATGGATGGTGGTTGCGATGCCAAGCTGTTTTCTAACTACTGTCACCATTCAGAAAGATCACTTTTAACTGATTGTCCATAGTTTAAGCAGTATGTGTTTCGACTTCTCAACTAACCACAAAAAATCAACCACTTCACGAATCTCTGATATCAACGCTAGTAGTTGGGCAAATAGTTATTAGCAACTACTGAAAAATTATTTTCTCAACACAAAGTAGGGATAAATAGTCGAACACATTTCTAATGTTTGAGTATACAAATTTAAATTGCTCACTACTATTGTTTAATCATGAAGGTTATATACAGTGATTAGAATAAATCTATTATACACCTGTTTAGATGCCTTATAAGTGGTATACCCGGAGGAGATTGTTTTGTGACTGTCATTCATAGACCGTCGAATAATTCAGGTAAGTTTGTTGTTCATTTGTGTTGCAAAAGTAATTTGTAGAGTCAGGGTTTAATCCAAACTGAGATTGGAAAAACCTGCGTATTATGACTTGGACATCATGACACTTATGCAGAATAAACCAATGCATTTTTGAGTTGTATGGGACTCACTTCAAACAGATTACATTCTTCCCAGCCCGAATAACATAGCTTTCTGATTAGGACCACGGTGTCCTAATTGATATTTTATGAACTCAGAGTTATGTGTCAATAGTTTGGATAATAATGATATATATTGCATGAAATTGAATCACCTGATTTATTTGTAAAATTCTTGTAGGATGATCAGTAGAATGTACTTTGGCACATAATATATTATCATAATTCATTATTCTGTAAATATTTTCTTCAGATTATAACCGATGTTCATGTGAAATCACTGAATTCTCACTGTGGAGATACTAATAATGAGAAGTACCAATGTAAGTTTCCTTTATTCGAACTACTTACAACGAATACACTCAATTATCATCACACTACTTATTACTGTGAAGTAGCGAAGTATACTATGGAACACTATAATTAGACAGTAACATTTATCTAAAAGAAATATACAGCAAATTATCACGATACCTAATGTTATTGATCTACATACAATGATATAATAAAACCGGAACTATCAGGAAAATATTCATTACGATTTGATTCATGGAACACTGAAAACTGGCTACCAATTAGTATACAGAATTTTAAACTAATTAACGTGTAACATTTCAGTATCCATAAGATCAAGTAGTGGCCGACTAAGAGTTGTTAACTAAGTTTAAACTTCTAATTCTTCTTGGTATCCACTGAGGTAGGGATTCGTTTCACTTTATTGAATGAATTTGTCTCTTTATGTATTGATCTACGTACCAGAAGTTGATCGTAAACACTTTATCCTAAAACGTTTGAACTTTTGTTTTTATCTTACACTGCAGACCCGAGCATTTATAGTCCATCTTATGGAAAGAAGTCACGATGTTTCAATTATGGAACAAAGTATGTGAGTGGAAAGCGCGATCGGGCATTCGCGGGTTGTTTTAAAGTAAGCTGTATATATGCTAATCGTATGAGATTTCCTTGATTCTTTCAATAATTTCTCATCAGGTTCCACAATTATAAATCCAAATTAATAATCCATAAAATTAGCCAAGATTTAAGACAGAGTACATCATTTGGAAATTGTAATATGTGAATTGAGGATTGTTGTTTGTCATATAAAATCAATTCAGATCGTTAATGTTGGAGCTGACTAATATAAAGTGTTAAAATGAATCAGTTTACAAGTGAAATGGAATTGTGCAATAAATGATCAGAATAAATATGGTCAGCATGGGGTGAGAGAGAAAATAATGGAATAAAAGTCGGAAATTACGTAATATGTAGAATAATATGAATTAGGTCAGATATATAGTAGATCGTAGTGGATACTGAATGAACTCCTCAAGACGGTTATCAAGTGTAATGATATTAATAATAAATCCAACGTTTCGCCTGGCAATCTGGTCCAAGCTTTTTCAAGGAAAATATAATCAAACAACAAAATTATCGAATATAATGGTGATAATAACGACGGTAAAGATAATAATAATAAGTTTGGGACATAAAATGAACATTAATCGAATTACGTCACCATATTACAAGACTTTCTGTATCTATCAATTCAACTGCTCCTGTGGAGCAAGTTATATTAGCAGACGTTCTAGGAATTTGTACATTCGGGCACGTGAGCACATCCCCAAATGATGTACTCTGCCTCAAATCTGGCCAATCTTATGGATTATTAATTTAGATATGAGATAATTGTAGAACCTGATGAGACAATATTGGAAAAAAAATCTTCCTTCATACAATTGTGTTTTAATATAACAGGAATTTTTCAGCGATTTCCTTTATTTCATAGTTCAGTAGAAAGTAATTTTAATGTCGTCATTTTTGAATACAAAATAATATGAACGTATATCTTGTGCAGATTTTCCAAAATAATACAACCATGCCATTTTGTTCAATCAAAGAAATTATTTATTCTCATTAGTATTTACTTCACCAGCTGACATTAGTTTGCATAACTAACTTATTCATCAGAAAATATTGATTTATTTCCGATTTCAAGGTGAAGTGTAGTCTTGAATTCAAACATCTAGTTTACTTCCGTGGTGATTGGCGTGAATGTCCAAGAGACGGTGGTATTATGGAAATAGCTGAAGATATAACTAGACATGATTGGATCCAATGTCCACGTTTTCATGATGTATGCTCTGTGAGTTAAACATAGTCGATATTTTGACTGTCATTTATCTATTTCCTTATTCAGTTTGTGTAGAACGTAGCAACAGAAAACATTAACCGAATTTGAAAATGTCGATAATTAAGTTGTGATTCGTCACTTTCTATGATGAACACTTTCAATGGTGTCATAGATGCTCACTTGTGAGGCGTTCCATATTACGACAAAACAGTTATCCGGTTCTCTGTTCTTTTTAAGTGGTACTGTCAATGATGCTAATCTGTGGCGCATACAACTTATTAAATATTGACCATTTCAGATTAATTCATATTCCATTTGCAAAAAGCTGAGTGCACAGTATAGATTATTTCTCAAAGCTCATACACGAGTGAAATAAATAATCATTACTGTAACGTCGAATTCACTATGCAATTTTAACCACGGTTAAATTAAAGTCAGTCAGTTAAATGTGACATAAAACTCGACATGTGTATACATTGGTTCAAGTTGCCATACCTCATTAACACAATGAGATGGAAATGTTAGTGGAGATTGCAGAGTAATAGATGTTGTAACAGGATCAGTAGTAACAAAGAACAATAACCATTCAAGAAACGGTTCAAGAAGAAAACAATAACTAAGGAACTGATAAAAGAAATTTGTGAGGAAGTCAGAAACATAGGTTCTGAAAGAGAACAAGGAGCGAAATTCAGATGCGTCATTGCGAATGATTTTAGGTCATTCAGTTGAAGATCTCTCTGCATTCGTTACGATAATCACGTGAACCCCAACATGGTAAACTGTACCTGTTCACATGGCTCAGTTCACCAATTATTGTCTTCACAGACTGATGACATGTTTTATTATGGCCGCCTCTAACTTCCTTCTAATCTACTTCTATATCAGCCATCATCATATATCGAGGTGGTCTGTGGATGGGTATACGTAATACATGTTTAAATCATCTCAATTGATAAAGATTTACTACCTTGTCAACTGATTTACCATAGTTATCTAGTGCTCTGTGACCAGTCTCAGCATTCTCAAATTCATAGTGCATAAACATACTAGCAATGATTCAAAGACATCCATGATTGAATACTTACAACCTACAAATATCCTCTATTTTTGGAGGTCATGTTTCACACCTAACCATAAATTGCTCACTACATTTTATTGAACTCGATACAAATCTACATCTGTGGTCAGTAATCAACTCTACAGAACCAAACATTTCAAATAGAAAACAATAGTGTAATATTCTGTTGTTATGAATAAGCTGAACCACGGACTAAGTGTTCTAAAATTGTTCATGTATAGTGTATGAACGAAACAGTAGACAAACGCGTAGCCACTCACATAGTCGAAAGTTTTCACCTATTTGCATGTTACAATGTCGGTCAACTATAACGGAAACAAACTCATAACACGTGTACATGAGTTAGATTATTTCAGCCAATGGAACATAACTTTTTCATGGTTGAAATTGACACAACGCAAATTGAACTGTTGATAAACCAAAAATTTGTCTATCACCATTACTTACAAAAAGTGTATGAGTTTTGTTTTATCATAAATGAAAACACCAACAGCTATTGCTAAGATATGTATGATTAATTTACATTCCAAACTAAACGATTGTTAAATCGATATTGAAGATCGTACAACATATTACATTATGATTAGATTCAGTTTCTTTCTATTCACTTTCATTCATATTTGTTTAGGTTGAAAAAATACGAGAAAGAAACAAAAGGAGAGAGAAAGAACAAAATCTTATTGCGCAATCGTAATGAAATAAGACGCGTTTTGTCATTAACGAATCACACTAGTTTTATATTGTAGTGAAATTTATCTCATGATCTTAACCATTGAAATTACTATAATATCCACAAAACCCAACTGATATTAATTTATTGTTTAAAAATCCCCATAGTATTTGAACGAAGAATATTGTTTTCGATAAATTCACTTCAGTTACTACAATTCATATATCCAAATTAGTAGTCCGAAAAATGATCAGGCAAGGGCAAAGTACATCATTTGAAGTATGTGAATTTAGGATTGTTAAACAATATGGAATAAAATTGTTAATGTCGATATGACTCATATGGAATGTCAACTTGAATTAGCTTATATATTAAGTGCAATTTTAACACTCATGATCAGAACAAATATGGGTCGGATAGGGTGAGAGAAATAATAGTGTAGTTACAATTTCGATCAAATATTTGATAGAAGACTACAATGTGTAAAAGTTTTATATGAAAATAATAAGAGATGAATGCGAAACAAATGAATCATGTATTGGGAAGAATTCATAATGATGTTAAACCAATAACAAAAGCGAGATTTGAGAATAAACATAGCAATTAGTCCCTTTTATAAATTTCGATAGAACAATGGAAAGAAAATACGATGTATTTGTGCTATACATTTCGAACAATCTGGTCACACATATACTTGTCAAGGCATTTTATATGAAGATTAATAGAAGTCAATTAAATGAAAGTTCAAGCAAAAAGGTAACAAAGGGCAGAGAAACAATTTCACATCGTACAGAAAGAATAAGAAATTTTCGCGTTATCATAGTAAAACCTAAGAATCTGGAAATAACGCACTTGAATCAAGAAGTACTAGACAAGCACGAACGAATGTATTGTATTTAGAATTCGAAATCAAGCATTCAACAAGTACAATGAAATCATTAGTTCATTCAAACACCACATCCGCCACGGCTTAATTAGGAGTATAAGTGTCTGTAATTAATTGTACGTCTTCTCAAGTTCATCCTGTGTCTGTCCGACATTGTATTGAATATAAACTTTGTATTATCTATAATGCACTCATGAGTATTAGAATTAACAACCGAAATCGGAACACACTAACCTGCTTGCTGGGATTGGGTAATCAGCATGTCGATTGTGTACTGAGACCGCTGCTACCTAGGATTTGAACCATAGACTCTTAGATTACCCTCCCCCACGAAATAATGTCGGATCTTCATATCCCCAAGTTATGAATAATGTGGCTTCATTCAAAGCATATTTCTCACATTGACTAGAGTAAACATTAGAAGTGTTTTTGTGATAAGGATAAACAGCAGTTGATATGGAACCTGCCACATCACAAGCATTGACCAAACTTGTGGCCATCTTCGTGAATTGCATCCAAACTCCTCAATGAATTTTCCACATAACCTTGAGTATGCACTGGGTTGGGTGACGGATGTAGTGGAATGTTTTATATCCTTGTGAATCATTTTACGAAACCTCCCATTACCGCAATCGAAATTTGTATACTTGACATAGTCTAGAAGTAGTTCCTTGAGAGTTGTATAAGGAAGCGAAATGGGCTTTTTCAGTATAGCCAGAGTTTTTAATAAGCTATATGCTTCTTTTCCGATGAATGTGAGGAAATGTGCTACAATATTAACATCCTCATCATCTATCTTGATCATAGCCCAAACTTCGAACCTTTCAAAGTAATCCTCAAAAGCATCAAAATCTGAATGTATATCCAACAACTTCACCACAGGATTCATCGAGACGCCAATGTAATAATCAGGAGTATTTGAATTATAGCATGAACTAAGAATCCCAGAAATATCGTAATCGGATCAAGAAGTACTAGATAAGCACAAACTAATTACTGTATTTGGAATTCGAAATCAAGCATTCAACAAGTACAATGGAATCATTAGTTCATTCAAACACCACAGATTCCTTTTTATTGATCCATCAGCTCTCTTGAAAGGCTATTCTATCTTCACTTTCTCATTCAGATGTAGACTTAATGACTGTATGTGCTTCATTAAATCGCCTAAGAATCTCTTGTTGTGATGCACTGTCTTTACAGAGGATAATTAAAGTCAAGTATTAAAAGTCACTATTACTTTTGAGAAATTAATGAAGTTGTTGAACAGGAAGTATAAAATATGTTAAACAAATCACTGTGTCTAGAACGCTTGGGGATGCTTTCAGCCGATAAATGTTATGTCCACGAAATGCCTAACTGAATTAATACTTGATACGGATAGTTCTGCTTCACATAACGCTTCTTTCCTTGAATTATATAGGTTGTCAGGAAAAAGCCCCTTGTTATTGTGAACAACTTGAGATTTTTGAGCAAGAATTAGTCATCGATACAGTGTATTAACGAAACATTTCAACAAACCATAGTTTGTAATTTATCAAGTAATGTTTGAAGATGAAATATCCAAGATACGGCACTTTACTTTCTCTGACCACTGTTCGCAATCTGATCTTCTTAGTTGTGAACCTAAAACACTACATCAGTCCCAAAACATATCTCGCACAATCACTGAGATAAAAAATAACCGCTAGACTGATTAGTATTCAGTAATACTCATAAAGCGTGACGTGCGATTAATAAATAAAAGCAGGTTTATTTATGATAATGGTCAGTATGACCAAGGAGAAGGATGTGTATTTATTTAGAAGATAAAATTTCAGTCTTAACACACTTCTCACACACGATATTTGAGTTCGTGAAAGGTAGGACGACGTCCTTTTTCAAGATTCTTCCAATAAAATCTGAGCTTATTAGTAAGTTCTGAATAGTATGTTCCATTTCTGAGAATAACAGGGATGAGACTTGACTAATGTGAAACTCATCACGCTGGATAACAATACAATATTGCGAGGGTAGGTTTAAGGTGAGAACAAACCGTTTTCGAATACGTAGAGGATGTTTGAATTTCTGTATGAGTACGGTTTCGATAAACCTTGGTATACGCCCTAGAACACTTTGTACAAATTCATGAAGTCTGAGTTAATGTCAACCGTATATCATGTCATGAGGTCCTGGACCACAAGAAGCACCATCACATGGAATGGATGGAGGAACAAGAAACCAGCAATCAATACCAGCCGTACAAGAGCAGAAAAAGCCAAGGCACAAGCTGAATACACGGAAGTAAACAAGCAAGTGAGGAGGCGCATCAGAACTGACAAACGTAAATATGTGGAAGATCTAGGAACGACAGTGGAAAAGGCTGCAAGAGAATGAAACATGAGACA